AGACTGCATTGTTTCCTGTGGTACAAGCCTGTGCATGACTTTGTTTAATGTGAGGAAGCTGGTGCACGGAAACAGCAACTACATGAACTTGACAAGGTGGAGATCTGAGCACAGGGGCAAGGGAGGACACTAAATGACAGGAGACCTCCATTTTTCTGCAGCCTTCTTTCTTCTTTACAGCTGTTGAGATCTTGACATCTTCTATCGGATCCACCACTGAGGACTTCGGGTTGGACCGTGGTTTGTCTGGAACCTCCCTTCCAGCCTGTTCACCATGGTTGACCCTACCAGGAGTGTCAGATTATGGGTGACATAGCTCAGAGGATCATGGGACACAACACAAGCCTCTCCACCACTACAAGGTCTTGGTCCACAGAGAGACATATCACATACAGCATAAATGCCAAACATCAGGTGGTGGGCTTTGGTTTGTTCTTCAAGAGGTTCTTCTTCCTACCACACCATCTCTGCCCTGTCCTACTCAGGTTGAGTAGACAGGTGCCTGTAGCCAGCCTTGCTAGATACCAAATTGCTGTGTGTCTGAGTGGTCAGAAGACTGACTACACTGAAATATGCACTGATAACCTCTGTCAGTAAGGAGCCCAAGGTATCCTTGCTGTTTTTAAATCAGCCACAGAGAGGAACAAGCAGAATCACAGAGGATGGCTCCAAGTTCTCTTCTTTCTTTGGTGTCTCTAACTTTTATGACTGTTTGAAATTTGACTGGGAGAGTGGTCAACTTTGAGGCTACTGCTTCCCTCTGGCTCCTTGAATTTGTATGTCTATGCATCAACAAAATTCTGATTCTAGAGAGTTATATAGCAGTGTATGCTTTACTTTGCACAACAGCATTTGTTTGGCCTTTTTTTTTAAAGCATTTCTGTCACTTATGACAAATGAATTCTGCAGGAATGATCCAAACACTATGAAGGGCCAGCCTGGGAGAGCCTCTCACACTCACTGCATAATGCTGTATTTCATCTTATTTTCATTGCTTTCAAGCATACTGAGCCACATATCTGTCTGCAGTGACCAAAAATCTCTGGAATGACCAAAAATCTCACTCCTCAGCTGGATACTGGGAATGCATTGCAGATGTTTTTTGTCAGTAAAGGATGTCTTCCAGCAGAGTGTTCCTGCTCAGCCTGGGATGCTTAAAAACTAAAACATACTTTAAACACCTCAGTCCCCTTACTCTTCAGGGCAGTCAGAGCAGTACTTTGTAGGAATGGAGAGACAAGTATTACATCAATCGGTGAACTAAGAAAGCTTATGCCCATGATATGACACGAACAAACTTCATCATCTCTCAGTTAAAACACTGGAAATTTAAAAATATGTAAAAAGTGCTTAATTTCACTTATTCCTTCCCACACATCAGATAAAAGATCTAACCTATAAAATTGCCTCTGCACTGTATCTATTTTTATGAAGAGATTTTAGCTTCAAGGTTACTTCTACTTCAAATTATGATTTAAAAGGTTTTAAACTGAGTATTATTTCTCCATGTATAATAATAGTACAGAAAATACACATAAAGGCTTGGACTTACCAGCTGTAACTGCATTGACTTCAGTATATCTGTATCAGGGATTAACTTGCCCCAATAAATAATTGCACATTCCTGCCTCATAAGGCATAGACTCTTCCTGGACCTTGAGTGAGGAGTGGCTTTTAAAGTTGTAAGCCAACTAGATATCTAGATATCAGCTACACTGATTATGAATAAGATGTACTTGTCACCACAGTCCCTGTGTTTTGTTCTTTTATTGCCACCATGTGGTGGAAGCAGCAAGACCTTGAAACATACAGCTGTGAAAAAAACAGATTTCATTAAATCTATCTACATCCCCTTCAGCTACCTCTGAATACTTCCTTTTGGAGACAAGCACACACATCCACCCCATATACATTCATTTAGAGTACAAAGTTTTTGCTCAGTTTAATTACAGTCCCCATCAACTTTAAAAGGCTATCCTCAGTTCAGTAGATAAGTCTTTATCATATGAGTCTAAGGGTAAACTGTCCTTGTTTTGACTGCTTCATCCCTGAAGCACCCACAGTAAAGAAAAGGTTCCTAATTGAAGATAGTTTCTGAGAGATGTGTATGGCATATTATATGTATATTTTTTTCTGCATAGATTAATGTGAATTACAAGTATTGTAACCCGTGATTAAAGGAGAGGAAGTTCACCAGTTCTGAGAGCTGTCACCACAGCACTTGTTATGGGGTAACCAGGTGCTGCATAAGCTTCTTGAAGCAACAGTTATGCTGGGGAGTTGCATTGCTGTCATGCTTAAGAACTTAACCATTGCCAATTTTCTTGCAAGCATCATGGGAAGGGGAGCTTTAAGGAGAGATGAGCTATCTTTACAGATCAGATGCAGAGGGGAGGGACTGGAAATATCCTCTCTCATTTATCTGCCAATGATTGTGACTACACTTACCACCATGGAATCTGTGCACCTACGAGACAAATGCCTCTGAAAACTGTTCATGTTCCCAGCAGAAGCCACGGTACGCAGCAGCTGTGTAGCATTTGTGCTCAGTACTGTCTTTAGATTTGACTCCAAGAGGAATCTGCCCTAGATGTCCAAAGGGATAAAAATCCCAAGTTCAAGTTGCATAAGTTTAAAATGCCTGTTTCCAGACAAAACATGATGGCCCATGCATGCATTACCTTTACCTTTCATGATCTGTGGATGCCA